GCATAAAATAAGGCTAAACAATTATTGAATACTGTGTTTGTTTACTTATAATAAAAAAAACAAAAATTTATTCTCAAGGGATGAGTTAAAGTCAGTGATACGAGATAAAATAAGAAAATGGCAAAGAAATAAACAAACAGATAGGATACGCTCTACGTAGGTTCAAGGGATAGTAAACAGCGATAAAATAATAATAATAAAGTTGCATAAACACAGAATTAATATTTGTGAACCACTGCTAAGTGATTAAAGAAGCATTTTGTGAATACAGTAAGAAATATGTAAAGTATTAAGTACATCTAGAGAAATAACCAGCAGTAAAGGTAGGTGAAATCGTAAACATCTGAAATAAAGGAGGTAGAAAAAAAGAAGGACTATTGAATGCTAACAATAATGGAATCAGAGCCAGGAGAATTTATTAAAAAGAAATTGTTTACTCCGATTACACTTATTCTAAATTAATTATGAGAATATTCAAATTATAGTGAAGCAGATAGCTAACTAATTTATGTTAAATTTTAGGCGCACTTGTCAATAAATGCATATTTTATCGAAGTATTTACAATGAATTAGAAAGTCATTGATATTTTTATGCTCAATTCAGTTAACCGAAATGGTATCAACAATTTAGTTTTCTAAAGACAGAACAAGACACACCTAAAATATATTCAAAGTAATCAATAAAACAGTGTAATCTGACTCAACTCCGGTTTGTAGAAGCTATCTGAATTGTGACATTAAAGTATGATTTCTGTTGAAAGAGACCCAGTCAGTGGTTAACTGAAAATTGTTTTTTGATAAGGAATTTGAGAATTTTTATCCGCCCTCACTTTGTATATCTTCTACTTGTGTGTGTTATGATAAGTGATTAGTATTGGCTGCTTACTACTGATTTTCATATTGGTCGTACTTTCATGGTCATAATAATCTCTTCAGTGATTTACGTGACTTAATATTGTACTTTGTTTCTATGTGCATCCTGAGTAAAACTCACTATTATTATTACAACTGTTTGTGACAACTCATCACCTTTGTTACTACCCTAGTTTCACTAACACTTAATTTTCTTGACCTGTATTACCAACCTTCACTTGTTTAGTTAAAATTAACCTTAACCGATTGTAACTTTGTTTGACAAACTTAATGTACACATACATACAAAGCAATGCATATATATTTGCGATTGTACAGCTAAGAAGATGAATTCGCCGAAAAGAGACTCTTCGCTGATCTACGTGTTTTGTTTTCACTTAATATTGTAACAGCAGAAGGCAAGACATGGAAGTCAAGGTATATTTTCAAGTGATCAAACAGCTATTTATACATGCACAGTTTTATATTCTTTAACCAATCACTGAGCGTGTTATTTTGTTTACATTAAACGACATCAAATAGAATGTTTATATATATATATATATATGTATATATATATATGATTCTGTTGCAACTGCAGTACTGAACTGTGGGAATAGTATTCAGATGTTAGCACCAACAAATACAATGATTTTCAAGTACTGGTTGATAGGGATTTGATTGATTGGTTACAGGATTTCATCATGAGCTGACATCGGTTAGAGAACCATTGGAAAACCTGCAGGGAGTACTGAACAACTGTTTCGACCTAGTTTGGGACTCTTCACAGCACGCAGCCACGGCCAAGGTTAGAATCCAGGATCTTCTGGTTACAAGACTAGCGAGCTCGTAGACCATTAAGCCACTGGGATCCGATCCAATGGCCAGCCAATGAATTCCAACTTCTGCCAATTCACCACATAGCGTGACCACTACCCAATGTCTTCGGCCAGTATTTATCCTCGTGCCCGACCTGCTGTACCCTACTGGTCATGACTTCTCACTACAATGGTTTTTGCTGTGAGAATAATATTCCGCTGGAACCCATTGTCTGCATCACACCACCACAATATTACTCTGGTTTCAGTGTTAGTGTGTAACGTTTTAGCACCTACCTACTTTAGTTCAGTATTATATTGTGAAGACCTGACTTTTCGAAACATTTTTTATCTTTACACATGACCTGTTAAAATTTATCAAGTTAAGTAAATGTATTTAGTGCTGGTTAAATGTAAACTTCAGTAGTGTTTTACTTAGTTAAAAAAAGTGTTGGATTTAATCTGACTCAGATAGACAGAAAATATTAGTTTCAGCCTTTGAAGAAAATAAGGCAATGTAAACAATCCTTTTTTTAAAATCACTGTAGCCAATTTATTTGATCTTTCACGTAAAAGCTGATATTTTTAAGTTTGTTTGCATATAAGGATAACTATTTACTTTTCTGACAACTTTATTTCGTTATTTGACGTTAACACTTAATATATATCTTCTCAACGACTTCATTATCAAGCTGTGCACTCATTGTGAGATACATTTTTTAAATTACCTGGCTAGAAAGACAGAACCAAGGGTATTGACAGGGAGTTGTCAAAAACTCTGAAGAAACTGTAAGATGAGTCCTTTATTACGGCTTATATGTGTGAACATCTTGTCCGGTTCTCGTCTAAATGGTGTCCCTCTGCAACCTATATTGGATATACTGAACTCACCTTACTATTCTATGGCAAAATCGATTGCTGATTTAATGAGATAAAATAGGTTAACATTAGTCTTTCGAACACTTTTGACTTCTTCATTCACGCTGATGGAATTAACGTGACTGGTAAGCATATAATTTCCTTGTATGTTTGTTCTCTATTTACAAATGTATCACTAGTAGAAAGTATCTGTTATTTATGTGATTACATTGATTTTAAAAACATAAATATCGGAATGTCAACTAATTAATTAAAGGAGCTGCTTAGTAAAATACTCGCTCAATGTGAAATTTAGATCTAATGATTTCGTCTATAGTCAAAGAACTAGAGTTGCTCTAGGTTCTCCTTAAGCATCTCTTCTATCTGGTGTTTTATGGATAGCTTAGACAATGGTCCACTGGAATTGTCTCCAGTGTGCAGGTGTATAAGAGATGGATGGAGGACACTTTATGACAATAACTATTCAACTGCTGACCTCTTCAGGAAGTTCAACGGTTAACACCTACCTATGCTTTTCACTACTGAAAAAGAGTCGAATTTCACACTTCATGTCTTAGATATTATGCTAGACAGAAGTGAGGGTGGCACACTAAAAAGGTAAATCAATCGAAAACCAACCTTTAAACAGCACTATGTTAACTTCAACAGTTGGATTCCTCTAGGTAGAAAGAGAAACTTTATTCATTCTCTATGTTCCAGAATTATGAAAATTTACTCTAAAGATGTCGTCAACAAAGAGCGGGAAAACCTTACAACACTCTTAAGTAATGTATATCCTAAAAAATTTATTGAAAGAAATATGAAGAAAGAAACCGTTCCCGGATAAATCATAATACCAAAGAAGACACTGCTTATGAGTTTGACATTCAAAGATGACACTATTGCTAAAGCAATTAAAAACCGTTTATCCAGCTGTATTGAACTGTTTTTCTGCCGCTGACTCACACCTAGTATTCTCTGGCCGAAATAAATTTCAACAATGTGTGGAGGATAAACTACTGCTTATGTCCACCTCTGAGTTAATATACTCTTTCACGTGTTCCTGGAGGTCTGATTAAACTGGACGTTGTAAAAGTGTCCTCCAGAAGGTTGTAGGGGGAACACTACTCTTTATGGTTGATGAAAGGCGAGTGCAGGATGACGAAGTCTTCCATCTCTGAACACCTTCTTGAATCAGGTCATTCAGCCCCAAGCTATTCATCCTTTTAAGTTATCTAAATGGCTAAATTCAGTCACCGTAAAAGTTTACGTTTTCCCCACGTATGTACAGCCAAAGCCCTAGTAAATATGAGTAAAAACCTAAGCTACGTATTCAAAAACGTCTTATTAAACAGCTTCCTACACCTAACTCATAGTAATTTTATTTTTCATTTTATTTTATCTCTTGAATTCATTCCTGTCCACTTCATCCTTACCTTCTCTATTGTTATCATCATCTCAGTTTTAATTTGTGACAGCAGCTGGCCTACCTAACAAATTCGTTAATACCAATTTAATTATTTAATAATCTTTTAAAACTTTGTAATTCATCCACTTCAAATCTACCCCCCTTAAAAATTATGTTAATTACCTTTATTATTATTGTTCCCTTGGGTTCCAAGTGGAACATAGGACTCAACAACACATCTCCACTTTCTTCTATTTTCTGCCGTCCACTTCAGCTGGGCACAAGATTGACCATAATCTCTCATCTCCTCCTCCCACGATCTCCTCCATGCCACCCTTGGACGACCCACTCGTCACTTCCCAATGGGATTCTACTCGAGCGTTGGCCTTCATTGCACATGATGTCATTCGACGGTCTCCATTTTCCCCTACATATTTGTTAAACGATGGATTCTTGGTTAGTTTTTTCGCATAGTTTCTTGTTGCTAATTCTATCTGGCAGGCCGGCCAGCCATTTGACCTTTAGTATGGAGCCAGCAAAGGTAACTGTTGATAAAAGTCTGCAACCTATTGGAAATGCTTTTCGTGATGCATCAAGTATTATCTTTATTCTTATGTATATTGACTGAGTAATTGTTAGTGCCTTTTTCCATAATATAAATATGACTGAACAGCTTGAAAATGAAGTTGTTGAAAAGAAATATTTCTCCCCTGAACAGAAATGCTTTTTCCTATTAACGAATATAAATGGGTATATTTTATGTTTTTGGATTGTCTAATAAGTCAGTGATGAAATCTTGCACCTGAAAACGCTCAATAACACTAAACACATCCACTTAAGCTGCAAAATCTCTTCGTTACTTTATCTTTGTACTTGGATGTGATGTAACACTCCCAGATATCTATGGGAGTATTTAAAGCCAAACCTTTTTCTGTATTCTTAGCATATCCTTAATTATAGGAAAATATGAAATAAATTAAGGCGTTAGGTTACTCTGCATCCTCAGAGTATCACATTATTCACTGATCTATACAGCTCAGTCTTCAAATTCGATAAAAGTACTCCAAATATCTACAGTTTATTTTTTTCTTAAACACTAAAAGGATCGATTACAGCACATGTGTACGTAAACATTTTCGAAAATAAATGAAATTAATTCACATTTATTATACACATTTAACCAGTAAATGCTTTGTCGAATCACTTCTAAAGTGAAGTAGAAGCAAAGTGAACAGAAACCGAAAGTTAGAGGAACAACACCGATCCACACTGAAAATTCTTTAGAGGAATTCAAATAAAAATATTTGCTTGAAATTTAGAAAGCCACAAATGAAACCGAATAAATTTCACATTCTGGTCGAAATAGTGATAAGAATAATAATAATAATGCTGTACAAAATCTGTCTTAATAATTTCTGCATTTTTGAAAAGATTTTTAGGGAAAGAAGCAAAACACTAGTGCGGTAAGCATAAAAAAGTGTTTCCTTCAAATGCGAACAAATGTGTTACAGAGACAAACACGTATAAATGCGTCATGATTCAAACAACAACAACAACAGCAACAACAATAACAACAAAAAGCAAAGATCAAGTGGAGAAACTTTCACTTTCAAAATGATTCATATAATGATCTGTTTTATTTGATAATTGGATAAAACAAAAGGCAAGTAAATGACGATTTGAAAATTAATTTCAAATAAGTGTTGTAAGTGGAAAAGTACAAAAACAAGGATATAAAATGAATGACAGAACATTCTCTTCTCTTACCAACCACTCGTCACTTTTAATTGTCCATTATTGGGGATTACTAATGGCTCTAATTGACAAAGAAAATTGTTTGACAGTGAATAAAATCTTTTACATAGAAAAAAAGTCAATCTATTTTGTTTTCTTCATTATCATTCTGTGTAGTTTAAGCGGAGATTTGAGATAAATTTCAGTAGGGTAAAATGTTCATTTTTTATTGTTGTTTTACTGTTTCATTTGTAGGCGGGTAATTTGTAATCTGTGGTTTTAAACTATTGAGGATATAATTTTTAGTGGTTATAATCCAACTTTTAGTTTGTGTACTTGAAAGCTTTGCGTAACATATGAATGTGATAATTGTTAGTAAAGTATAAATATAAGTGATCCGATCAAAATGTTTCATTGTTGACAGATGAACTTTATAGAAAAAAAAGTAAAAAGTAGAAAAACATAAAAGTTAATGCATATCAATATATTTTAAGTTGATTCAATTTAAATCAGTTGACACTAATTAATACTGAGTTGAACAACTAGTGAAAAATAGTCAGTAATTTTCAGTGTAAGATAATTTATCTAAAATTCTCTTCATCTTTATTATTTCTAAAGTAAATGTCAACCACTATAGAAAAAATCTGTCATCTAACAATCTGTGTGCTTAATTTTACCTTTTGGAATTTAGACATTTTTGTTTCAATAATGGTTTTATATATAAGCCTGTAGAAGTTCAGGGAGATTCCACTGATCTCCATAAACATAATCATTTTTTTTATTCCTTCACGTTCCCAGTGGAACATAGGGCTTCAAGCTAGAGGCTTGAAGTTTCTGTAGCAGTGTTTACTTTTACAGGATGGGGTTGCTAGCCTCATGCCCAACCTTTCCTCTTTACCAGCTTTATTTCTGGCTTAGCGGGGTAAAGGAGTGCGTCGGCCGAGGATCGAACCTCGGACCATGTGCATGGTCGGTGAGCGTCCTAACCGCTGTGCCACCGACGCTCAAATATGTGTTTTAGTAGGTATAAAGCCTGTAGAAGTTGCAGGGAGATTTCGACTGATCTCCATAAACCATAATCATAAATCTTCATAATAACTTTTCTATCCTTTTTGGATTCTTTAGAGACAACTCCTCTCGTTAGGCTCAAAGTTTTGTAACAGCGTACACATAGTCAACGGACTGTACACTCAAGTGCAATTTGAAAACCTAATTTACCAAACTTATTACCTTGTATTTTTATCGATACAGGCTCTTAATTGTTGCCATCGATTTACTAATTCATTTGTATTATGCAACAATTGTAATCATGCGTCCTACCCACGTACACTGTTCATTGACCCACATGAAAACATTCACTTTACTATGGCATATGGAAGTAATGAGAAGCTGCATTTTCTTGACGACATCGTGCACCGTTTAGAAGATAAAAGTCTTCAAAGATCCACTCATCAAAAGCCCACGTGGAATGGACCATTATCTCAATACTTTTGATCCAATTAGCTGTAAACCAGCATTGTTAAGAACTCTGTTTTACACAGGCAAAACAATACACTCTGCTGAGAAACTAGAGTCCTGATTCTTGAGATGCTGAGAAGTAATAGTCACACTCAGAAATTCAAAATAACAATTGTGTAGAATATGACGATTTAAATACAGAAAGGAAGAGTTATCAGTCTTTCCTTGCCCTCACAATTCGACATCTTCACACTCTCTTTTATTTGATTTTGTAATCTTTGGCTTCAACTTCTTTACCCATTCCGCTGTAATGTAATTTTGCTTGTTTTTGTTTTAATAACTTGAGCTGAACTTACTACACAGTTACATAACTTATTAGTTATCTATCATCCTATTCACCTCTTGTCCTTAATACTCAACTCCATTTCCATTGTCTTCTAAACATTTATTATTTTTTGGTTTTGATTTGTTTAATCTTGAACTTTCTGATAAAAGTTTTATAGGTATAATTTCCGGCGCGTTTTTTTATCGATTCTTCAGTCCCCTATTAACTGACATCATGCTGACCTTTCAAGGTTTGAGCAGATAGTGAGAAGCAGACAAAATAATTGGCGGTGCCATCTCGATCCGCTGGAACTGTTGTTTACCTCTGTTAAGATTCAATGTTTTATTTGACTTTCTAGCTGATTGGTCGAGATCTTCAAAATACAAAACAACCACACCTTTATCTCATAATAAATATTATTTAATGGAAAACTTCCCAAAATATATTTACAATAAAAAGCCATTCATCGGTTTTAACTAAAGTAAATATTAAACTTGTCCACTGATAAAACTTTCTTAAGATTAAACTTTCTATGTGTGATTTTAAACCGTCATCTGGTGTTTCATCGTGTGAAATATTATTCTCTTAAAGCAAATTATTTGTTTAATTGTGGACGAATAATTGCAATAAAAACAAAACAACTCAGTTTTTGTAGTAAAATAAATAGTCACTTTAGAGATCAGATTTTTATGATGAAAACTATTCACTAATGAGGAAAAATATGTACTCAAGATGTTCTAGTATCATAGCTTTACAGCATAACAGATTAGTGAGAGTTTTTAGCTCATTTGAATGCTTCTACTGATTCCAAGTTATTTGAACCAAATGACTTAGTTGTGAATTATTTTTACTGTGAACGGTGAATAGTAAATACCCTTAGAATTTTCACATCTGTATTGACTGGTTTTATCTCTTATGACCTAAAGAATTATATAAGCTGTTATTATACTATTTATTATTCCCTTGGGTCCCCAGTGGAACATAGGGCTTCAACAACACATCTCCACTTTCTTCTATTCTCTGCTGTCCTCTTCAGCTGGGTCCATAATCTCCCATCTCCTCCTCCTCACACCATCTCCTCCATGTCATCCTAGATCCGATGACCCACTCGTCGTTCCCCATTCGGACTCAACTCGAACAATGGCCTGCATTGCACGCGATGCCATTCGATAACCTCCTCAACGTATACCCAATCCACCTCCATTTTCTCCTACATATTTGTTGAGCGATCGGCTCTTGGTTGGTTTGTTCATCGTCAGAGTTTCTTGTTGCTAATTCTTTCTGGCCGTCTGTCTGGCTGGCAATTTGATCTTGAGCATGGAGCCAGCCAGTGAAGCGAGCAGCTGTTGATAAAATCCTTTTCGTGACGTGCAGTGCAAGTTTCTGACTCGTATATAAGAACTGACTGACTTCACATTTGTGTTGAAAATCCAAGTCTTCTTCTTTATGCTGAGTGACAGCAGAAGATTTCCAAACTGGTTTCAGGTTGATGAAGGCGTATCTTTCCTTCCCGATTCTGACTGGCTTTGACATCCTCATCCGTTCCGACTGCCCGTGATTGAAACCATGCTTCCTGTCTGGATAAGTGAAGGGAGTAACCTCTGTTAAATCTCTCCTGTTGATAGTGATTGGTGCTGGTTGCTGTTGCAGTTCTTTGGCTATCTTCATCACCTCCGTCTTCTATATGTTCATCTGGAGTCCTGTCTTCATAGCGTGATTCTTCAGCTAGTTTGTTGTTTTTCTCCTGTAAGTCTTTGACTTTGTGTGACATTAAACACAGATCATCTGCGAAATCCAGATCCTCTAGAGTCTTTTGTTGGTGGTCATACCATAAAATCGGCTGAAAGAAGTAACTCATAATTTCAATGAAAAGAATGTTTCTGGCACAGTTATTAACAATTTGGATTATGATAGTTCATTCCTTACATCGATTTTTAACTAAATGACTACAGGAATGTGATTATTAAGTTACGTAGCTGAGGTTACCAAAATACCACAAAGTATATTGAAAGTTACAAAATCTTGATCTTACAACGTTCTGCATAATAGCTAATTCTTAAATGAAAGAAACATATCTTTCTAGGGAACTCGAACTGCAGATCTTTGATTTCAAATATCAAGTGGTTCAATACTAACAAACAACTCATTTGAATTCAGCATCATATTTCCCATAAATTATAAAATATAGGCATTAAAATATCTAAGTATGTATTACTTACTTAACAGTATCGTCAATGTATAAACGGATGATATGAATTGTGATATGCGAATCCCATTTGTTTTGACCGTCAAAAGGACATATAACATAGTAGAAGCTAACGCTGCATCATATTTGAAAAATGTAAAAAGAAACAAAGGTAGTACATCAACAAATTTTTAAAAAATGCGGTTATTACAAATGAAAAAGAACGTTTTGAGTAATTGTGAGTAATTTTAACAATTCTTCTGTCAACCCCATTATCTTAATATTAACTACAATATGCTTGTGGTAAAATGTTTCTTTAAGTATCGATTTTGTGGGGGATTTTGTTTGATTGCTTGGAGGATTTTATCATGAGCTTACTTCAGTTAGAAAAAACAGCTGTTTCGTCCTAGTTTGGGACTCTTCATCAGTACCCACCCACCGCAAGGATTTGAAACCAGGACCTTCTGGTTACAAGGCCAGCTCATAATGAAATCCTCCAACCATTCAAAAAACTTCCCTGAAAAACCAATACTTGAAAATTAATCTGATGCTCACTAGCGACTGGTCCTATTCAGGCAGTTAACCTGGGGTTCTATTGGGAAGCCGTGACCAGTAGGGTAAGGCAGTAACTCATCAAAGAAGACATTGCGAAGTGGTCACGCTATGTTATGAATTGACAGAAGTCAGAATTCATGGGCTTACGACTGAATCGGGTCCCAGTTACTGAATGGTCTACGAGCTTGCTTGTAATCAGAAGGTCCTGGGTTCGAACCCTTGTGGTCGGTGCGTACTATTGAAGAGTCGCAAACTAGGACGAAACAGCTGTCCAGTACTCCTTCAGGTTTTCCACTGGTTCTCTAACTGATGTCAGCTCATGAAAAAATATTTTTGTTTAAAGACACTACATTTCTCTAGAAATTCAGTTAAACTTACCAATTAGTGTATCACACTGTTAATGCCATTTCATCATTCTGTACAGAAAATATCTTCCAACATTTTGCACGCAGCGGAAAAAAGTTGTTTGTTTAAGACGAATTTCTTCAACTATGGTCCATTTTTATGAGAAAAAAAAGCCACAGTGACATTCGCTACAAAATAAATGTCCTCCTTTTGAGATGAAATCATTTTAGTGTCAAGTAATGTGCGACTTTTTTGGTCTGAAATTCCAACTTTGTAAATTGTTGATAAAATAAACGAAACTTCTTCTAAATCTTTCATTGTTAATCAGTGTATCGTTTTGTTATGGTCACATGACATTTGATTTAAACTATTAAACAATAAATAATGCAACTTCCGATTTCCAAACAAATCCTCACTATAAAAAAAATAATTTCTGAAATGATGTATTATTCACTTTCCAGAAATACAGTATTGTTAAAATAAATGATTTGAACATTTCAGTGATATGTGAGCGTTTTTGCAGAGTTATGCATTACTGCGTCTGTTTGCTTTTTCTCATAGACCAAGTTTCAGGTGATAAAATAAACAAACTTTTGATGATTTATGTGTTAATGGAGTTAATTACACGTCTAGTTTTATGTTTTAATTATCCGATTTTGAACTGATGCATTTCAACATTTTCATGGAAGATGGAAGAACACTGTGAGCTTCAGCTAAGTTTCTACCATACTTGGGGAACTAAACAGCTAGAATTTCAACTTGGTTTAGATTTCGTACGTGATGACACTCATCAGTGAGGCGTATTTGTAACCTGTAGGAAGCTCACAGTCTTTTCTAGATCAAGAAATACATCAGGAGGTGTTAGTGTCAAAGGCTTTATGCCATTCGAGCCATCAATATTCTAAGAGTGGTAGCTCATTTATGATTTTCTAATAATAACTGGTAAATATATTGGAAAACATTACAAAAAAATTATTCCACTTACTTATGTGTAAGCCTCCAAAATGCTTGAAAATTAGTTGTGTATTATACGAATTTCGGATACTGCAAGATTCAGGTGAATTCAAATTTTCATCAATATTTGAAACGGGGAATAACGCTTGAAGGAATCGATTATCATAGGATACTGGAAATCCTGCCATCTACAATGAATAATAAACAGTGACTGTGAATTAGGTCTGGATGTCACAGTGTTTAAACAGTATGCATAGATTTTGAGGGATGAGAACTGTTAGCATATGGTTTGATGTTATCTCACCTGATAGTATCTATCCTCTTATTTGTTTTGGTCAGTAACGAAGATTATTGGGTTTTATTAAGAATGATCTTATGTTTCACGTACCGTCATTTGATCAAGACGTTGAAAATTATGGTTTTCAAGTGTTGGTTTGTAGGGATTTGATTGGTTACAGGATTTTCATCATGAGCTGACATCAGTTAGAGAATCACTGGAAAACCTGGGAGTACTGGATAGCTGTTTCATCCTATTTAGGACTTCATACACCAGATCTGGTTACAAGGGAGCTCGTATACCATTAAGGCACTGGGACCCGATCCAATGGCCAGCCCATGAATTCTAGCTTCTGCCAATTCACGACATAGCGCGACCCCTAGCCAATGTCTTCGGCGAGTATTTCTTCACGTTCCTGACAGCAAGCCTTTAACCAGAGACTGCAAATGACTCATTTATTGCATTTACTAGGTCTTTTGAAAACGAGATTTTATCTCTCGATAAGGAGCTTCTTTTTCACTGTCACAGTGTACATCTGGTAAGAGTAAGCAATTTCACTGAATACTAACCAATCTTTAGATTATTCACAAGCAATGCAAATAAGGATGACCACGTGTGAAAATAGTCAAGGGGGGGTGGAATATTTGTTTAAATAACCAAACTCGGGTCCAAAACGTCGAAAAATTGAAAATTTCAAAAACGCTTCCAAATGATAGAGGAATGCGTGAAACGAGTTTTGGTGTCTATGACCATGGGGTTTTGAGCTTGTCTAGGCCTTACAGCGCCCTTGCTAGGCTGTCCTGCTTAAAACCCTAAAATCCTATAGTAAACACAGAATAAGCTATATAGACGATATGAGCGTGAGTTAGCCAGTTCTCATTGCTCGCTTATATGACTGTGTATGGTTTTCTATAGTCTTGGCAGACGTATAGAGACTATTTGCATGCTAAATTGGTTGGCAGGGATAACGATTTCATTGAATTTGGTGGCTGCTGGCTTCGTTTATAGGGGCCTATTGTCACTATAGCGATGCTATGCGTGCTACTTTTGCATATAATAATACGTTTGGCTAGTCTTGTATGCGAGATGAGTTCTATTGGGCTTGTCTATGCAGTGCATAATTGATTGACGCGATCAACGATCGGCGTAACAATGCTTACCTATCATTAATATACTAACGGTGCGAATGGTCCACCGAGGGAGAGGGCTCTCGAGTGGTTGCGCCACAGGATGATCCTGCATGCCGGTCTCGTCTCGCAAGAGGCAGGGATGGGTGTGTTTGGTTCTCCTGAAAACCAATACCCAGTCAATGGGTGTATCACTGTGTGAATAAACTGGTTGATCCTGCCAGTAGTCATATGCTTGTCTCAGAGATTAAGCCATGCATGTCTAAGTACATACCTTAAAACGGTGAAACCGCGAATGGCTCATTAAATCAGCTATGGTTCCTTAGATCATATATGCTACATGGATAACTGTAGTAATTCTAGAGCTAATACATGCAATTATGCCCTGACCAGCAAGGGAACGGGTGCATTTATTAGAACAGAACCAACCGGGGGCAGTTTTGGCTGTCTCTGTTGAATTCTGTGATGACTCTGGATAACTTTAATGTTCTCCTGTCCATTGAAAACCACGAGTTTAATCGCCTATTAAATAGGATACTGATGATATTCTTCCCTTTTCCTTACATTATATGTGCTGATGCAAATATACGGAATAGTTCAGATTATTAATGTAGTCCAATGGTGTTGCCATAAGGTAAATTCTTCCCTTATTTTACAGTCAAGCATTCGGTGGGATTTATTTTAATATATAAGGATTCCAAGTTTCCATGTTTCACTGCTTAAACAATTGTGCTCATCGAGTCAGTTACATTTAGTAATACCGAAAGTCAAATTAATCGTATAGTACTGTGGAAATAAATTCTAATATTAATAAGTAAGCTCTGAAATTTCCAGTTAGGGAGCTAACTGTTTCTTTGACCAAACCTCATCTGGAAAGATTTAATGTCATCAAAGGTGAATGGAAAAATCATATAAGCTGTTAAATAAGATTAGCTTAACTGTCTTCAATTTATAGGCCAAGAGGACCAACACGTTTATTTTAATTTTATTAATAATACTTTGAAATTTGCCTCTATCAGTACATTACAAATGGATGAGAACACCTAATTCAAGAAATGCAGTTGTTATTAACAGACACTGAAACAACAGATGACACATTTTGCGTAATTACAAGAAGGATAACATTACACTTGTCAATGATGGGTATTTAAGCGTTGGCTTGTAGGGATTTGATTGGTTTCACGTTAGATCATGAACAACTGTAGACTAAGAAGTACGGAACAGCCGTTTCGTTCTAGTTTGGGGTGCTTCAGCAGTACGAACCTATGTCCCCACCGAGGACTGAACCCAAGATCATCAGGTTACAGGGTGAGCCAGTGTACTATACAGGCACTGGGATGGAATTCAGTGGCCCATGCATCTGAACAATTCATGATATGTAGTAGTACTACTACTATCCAGTATCACCTACGAGTATTTGTCTACAAACCCAACTTGATGGCCCCACTGGTCACGACTTATGAGTAGGACTTCAGGCATTCCATTCTTAAACTAGTCATTATAGTAGTAATAATATTATAATAGTAATAATCACTTTATTCCAAGCAATACTTTTTTATGCAGAATAGAGTTTTCAGTGCTGCACATGTTGCAACAATTTATCTCCTTTTCCAAATAAATAAATACATGAAACAGTAAAAATAATAGAGCCGCCAAAACTGAAAGTTAATAGAATCATATGTATATATATTAATACTGGTTATAATTTGGTGTTTATTTACAGAATAAAAGCTTTAAACTCTCTTTTCTGACATCTGTCTCTTCGCATAAACCCGTGCTAAATTTGGTATGCTTGAATGTTTATGTTTTGCCGTACGAGCATAAATTTTTATGAAATTTCTTCTGATAATACCAGAAGGGATACAAGACGAAAGTTGAGAATATATGGTGTGTTTGCTATCAGACAAGATAACTTTAGCTACATGCTTGCGAGAATCAAATTGTTAATCAACAGCAATATTACTTGAGTTATAGGCACACCGCTAACCCCACTTACAGCCTTCAATGTTCTAGACATTATGACACAGTCTTTTCTGAGGAGCCTAGGGAAGAACAAGGGGAACAATAAGGATGAAAAGGTAGAATACATGAATTGATAAATTGTAAGCGAATAGGTTGAGTTATGCCAGAAAGTCAACCGGAAGATTTTCTCAGAAATCATCAAGATATGAGACGATCAATAACGACCAACAAACATCAGATTGATTTTCGACTGGCATGAAGTTAGATCACGGAGTGATGTCAGTTAAAGAACCATTAAAGGATGAGTTAAAGGTGACGCCATTAATGAAAGACAGAGGGGAATAAAAAAAATTATCACTGATGTCGATATTATTGTCCAACTGTTCAAAATTTTCCTATAAATTCCCTATTATCCTACTAAAATCAAACTTCAACCGTTTAATAATTTCTCTGGTTTTGTTTAGTTCCATTACTTATTCCAAAAAAATGATATTTTAAATTATGATTTTCATTCGTGCTGAAAATAAAAACTTATTTGATGTGAACTAAAAATGTTGGCTAACGAAACATACAACTAAGATAGAAACCTAATAACCCAAAAATATTGTCAGTTTATCCATTAAAACACCGTTGACATGAATAGAACTAATTAAATTAAAATAAAATAATGGAAATATACTCAAAAAATAAATATAGGTAACAGAGACTATAGGAAGTCATGCATATATTAGTACACTATTGTCTAATTCCTAGGGATTTTCTTTTGAAACATGTGACCAATATAAATTTTGATGGAAAATAATTTCCACCCTCTCTATTGACTAAATCATATCACAGTGAATAGAAATCCCCAAACTCCCATCTTCTGTATACTGCCTTATTCAGTATTTGCTTAAGTTTTGATGAAACATGGACACAACTCTGACTACTATTTGTTTCCACAATTTTCCCAAGCTCTAGTTGAGATAATATCAGAAGTATTCAGATTATTCATCTTGCCTTCATGGCTCGACTGATAATCACATTTCAATTCTAGACATTTTGCTAATCCTTTTTTCTCACTACTTGCATGTGATTAAAACAAATGTTGACAATTACTTGTTAGCTAACCAGCCTTTCGGAACCATCTTCTCGTATGATATAAGATTAACTGAACAGACGGCACGAAGAAGTGTATAAATTTTATTCAGTACATTATGGATAAAAGCTATGAGCCTTTGGAAGGCGTTAAGAGTTGAATATCTCAAATGGCGGTGATGAGAGCGGTGATAAGAGTGGTTTTCTGTATCATTTGTAGCACGTGATAAATTCAACAGACTAAAAGCAAAGTAAATTAAACAGATGGAGTAGAACTAGACGCTTAGAAATTTCTTTATAAATCCCCCCAAAAAAACAAATAATCATACAAATGTATGAATATAACTTAACTGTGAATAAGTAATACTTAGTTTTCCATATTAATTCGTATATTAGATATATCACACAGTGAAACAGTATCATATATTGAATGACGTTCCGAACAAAATTCACTGTTCATGATCACCTCAGTTATAACCACACAAATTCGACACTTCCGTTCTATGGTTTTCTTTATTCTTTCCTATTCGTCGTTGTAGGGGTAATAGAATTTTCCAGATGTCCGACTGGACAGGGCTTGAATCATTCCTACTACACGTGTTCGCAGTTGGTTTGATGAACAAAGCTTCCGTTATCAATCTCTCCCTTCAACCTGTTGTATTAGATTTTAAAACTGTCATCTCATCCCATCCTTTATTGTATGGTTGTGTGTAATTGCATGTAGTGAGTGGTATATCTGAACTAT